ATATATATATATATATATATATATATATATATATATATATTTATTTTTTATATAATCTACAAGAGATATATATACGTAGTCGAACTCGACGCTTTTTCTCACGACCGACGACGACGATACTCTCTGCCACTCATAAATACACGCTAACAATAAATAGGACGCGACACGAACAATTTCTTGGCGGGAAGTACGTTTAACGTTTATGAGCTAATAATAACAAGAGAGTGAACGAGAAGAACTGAGAGAATGGTAAAGGAGATGAAAGCGAGTAGTGGCGTGTCATTTTCACATATGTTCTCACGCGACGAACGTATTATATTGCACTATATTTACTCGACATATAAAAGAGAAAAAAAAAAGAATAGAGAATAATATGTTGAACGTGTTCCCTTTAGCTGCACTTCTCGTATTTTTAATGTGATGCATCTTGTCTTCATTCAAAATGTCTGAATATACATTTACTTCACTTGAAAATCTTAAAAGTGCAACTAATAAGAGAGACCCGTTTTCATTTACTAGGAGACCTACGCAGCTTCTATGCGGGTTCTACGCGAGTTCACGTCCGAAGCAAGATAAAGTATGGCTGAAATCGTGGATGCTCGCTCAGCGTCCGATTTCTTGGCCTTCGTCGAATGCAGTTATTCCGGAGGTAAGTCAAATCCACCGTTCACAAATCGATTTTATATTCAATGTGTATGCAATAAATGACGGATTTATTCCCCAATTATTATCTCAACTCTGTCTACATTGTAGCAATAGTTATAGTCAACAACGATTGTAAATCTTTGAAAATCTTAAAAACATATAATCTTGGAACTTTTCCTGTATTCTGTGTATGTATTCGTAAGATGCTTAAATTGTACAACGACATGTTCTATAATTATAAATAAATATATACATAAATAAAGAATCCTTCGGAAAAAAAATATATATATAACTTCGTTAAATTTTTTATTTTAAAATGCTCTTGTGGCAAACACAACGTGTGTGTGCATGTAATTATTGCGTGTATTCAATTCCAAGTAGATGATACAAACTGCAATAAGTACGTTTACGCATCTGTTTTATTGTAAATTTAAATTTCAAACATTAACTTTTCAACTGATATAGTCGCGTCTAATAAATATTACTATTTCCCCACCATTTATAATGTAGATAGATTGTGGATAATAATCAGGAGTATAAAGTTAACCGTCGACATGAAACCGGTCATGAGCGAGATACACATTTCATCCTATCCGCCAATATGGTGTCGAGTTTCTTGTCATTTTTTCCTATCATTTTTGCGAGGCTTATCACATATATGTGACCTCGTCGACCGTCCAATTGAACACAGAGACGAGCGTACGATGATGTCCGGGGAATACAGGAACCGTTACCCCTAGTATTCCTCTTAACGTTAAATAATATACAACGTTTACTGTATGAAGTATCCCATCGTTAGTTAAGTCTTATAGTATGGACAAGTATCCTTAGGCTAGTAGGCCCAAGGTCTGTGTATAATTCATGTTGATTTCTGGAACGTGTGTCACGCGGCCACGAGTCCGACCAGCGAGATAATCGCCTCGAAAAGGATAGGAATGAAATACAGGATAGGAAAATTTATGTAATCGAGAAACATTAATTACTAAAATAACAATTGTCGAATTTTTTTGCTGTGAAAGTGTTTCGCGGTGAATTTTAGAAACTGCAAAATTGGCCTATACGTCAAGATCAACATGATGTTATTTTTATAAATTGCTATTATCATTAGAATTATTTGCCTATTTTGAAAATGTAACTCATTACGAACAAAATTGTTTCGAGTAAGGAAAAATATCTTGAATATACAATTGTCTTATGAACTGTCTTTGAAGAAGATAGAAGTCTTCTGGAGAAATATCAATATCAAAAGAATAATTGAAGAAAAACTCATTTCTCAGAATCGACTTAAATCCATATTTGAAGTGAGAATTACTGATTATAGCTTAACAAATATGTTATAACTTTAATAACATATTTATTTTTTGATCTTCATTTTCGAAGAATATATAGATTTCAGACGATTTGAGAATAAACTCTTCACACACAATTGATCCACGACTAAAATTATTCTGGAGCTTTGTTCGAAACGTTCAAACGGGATCGTGAAAAAATGAAAGAGGAAATAGAGTTGAGGCGTGTTTGAGACGAGATAAAGACTGCACCTGTCAGGTCGTCCTCGTGGTCGCGAGCTTGTCGGGCGATTAGCGCGTATTTTACGATATCTTCTATGGAGGCAAGATGAAACGATCACGTCGACAGAACGTGCGCGGAATAATCGTTACATGCGTATACAAGGAGCAATATCTTCCAAGACACGAACGACGTATCGACTGGCGTCAGCCACCGTTTTTCCCTTCCGTCGCTTTTCGCAACTCCGCGATGCATCCTTAATTAAACGAGTCAAACCGCTCCCGAAACGAACCGGTATCCCAGTCTCGCGAGATGGTCGATTATTATGATCGATCAGCGTGGACACACACATACACACACATGTATATAAGTAGCATATAGATATACGTATATATTTCGTTTGGTAAAAAAATGCGACGCGAAGAGCGATTCTTTCGTGTTTTTTTTTTTAATATATATATATCGTACTTTACATAGTTTCCCGAGTAATGAATTCGAACAAAATTTCATAGACTCTTCCATACGACAGCGGGATACCGGTGCTCGTGTAGCGTTTCGTTTTCGTGTACACACACTTTGCTTCCTCCCCTTTTTCACCGTGATGTTACAAAAGTGTCGCTTCAGCGAGGAATAACAGAGAGAACTCATCGCACTTTGTGATTCAATCGTGATTATCGGAGAGACACAAACGACGCGCGTACTGCGAACACGACTCGATTTTCCATTCCTCTTTTCTAGGCAATTTTTGCTACGCTATTGCTCCATCGCGTACAGATCAAAGCGAAAAATTCGCTGATGAATATCGAACATAACATAACAGAGATCTCGTGTAATAAGCGACTAATCTTCAAAAAATTTGTTTATGAAAAATTCATTGCAAAGGTAATTTAACGTTATATTCATTATCTGACATGACAGCAGCAGACTTCAGGTCCGCGTAGCGAGATACCTTTAAATAAAAAAGATGTTTATGCTTTTCTACAATGACTGATTCAAATATCGCGATCAAATAATTCAATACAAGAAACCTTAATTCCTCTATATGTATATATATTAATTATTATAATTATATATAATAAAAAAATGGCATAGTAATTTTATGAACACTTTTAAATCGACTATCATCAGTAGGACTCGTCATATTTCTAAAATATATTTTTTAACATATATTTTTGTTTATTATTACGATATAATAATTAGAGTTAAGCTTGTTGTGTGCGAATTCTCAGTCTACACGGAAACTGTTCCGTACAAATAAGAGAGTAAGTAAATAGGATATTGATGAGTGAGTGATCTCGAAGAGTCAGTGGAAAATCGAGAATCGTTCGGAGACCGCGCGAAATTCTAAAACCGGTGATCGCGATAAAAATCGCATCGAAGATGCAAATGAACGAATGGATATATTATAATATAGTCTTTTTTATGTGTTGCACGCTTGGATCATTTGTCGGAGTGTTGAGTGACGGAAATGGTGGCGGCGACGACGACGATGATGATGACGACGACGACGACGACGACGACGACGACGACGACGACGACGACGACGACGACGACGACGACAACGATGACGACGACGACGACGACGACGACGAAGACGATGACAATGACAAAGACTCGATGCTGAACCGTCGTGGAGTACATACGAAATAAATACTCGCATCCGCGAATGCGTGCGGAGTTCGGCTGTGCAGAGAAAACACCGAGTATACGAATCGCCGTAAGTCCTGTTAAGGACGATCGATCGTTACGCACAATTCCATTTCTTCGTGACTCCTCTTCTCGCGGTCACCTCGCGTTTCTTGTCTGGACATCGCGTGCCCTCTCCATCTTCGGCTGGCTGATCGTCGCGAATTTCGCGATTTTTCGCGTTTCTCTCTCTCTTTCTCTTTCTCGATCAATCTATCGGATCTCGTCGTGTGTTGCGCGCCGAAAGTAATCGCGATTTCATCGCGGTTTGGACACGTAGACTCGTACTTCGTTACCTTCTCAATTCCTGACGGCAGGATTGCGTGCGCGATCAAGAGCCTAAAGACTCCATGCCAGTCGCCGGCGACGATGTGCAGGTGCGGTTGTCGAGGAAGAGGGTTGGTGACGAATGACGATCGCGAGGAGAGCATCACGTCGATACGTCGTGACGAGGGTTGCGCCTGGCTTTTGCTGAAGAGGCGTGTTGTTCGTATGTGTCATGTGTAGATTGTGTGTGTGTGTGTGTATCAATGTGTTTGTGTATACATATGGGTAGATGCGTGTCGATACGTTTGGTCGTAGCTCGCGATGACTCGACGGTGAGACGATGCATCGTTGACGCCGGGGATGACGATGACGCGTCGTCGATCATCGGTCGGTCAGTCGGTCAATCGATCCGGACTTATTGATCCTCCTCAATCAGTCGTTTTATGGTGTCTTCTGCTGTTGCTGCTGCGGCTGCGGCTGCTGCTGTTTTTAGCTTCGAGAGCGATAGTAGTAGTAGTAGTAGAAAGTGGCGGTAGTAGTAGCTGTAATAGTAGTAGTAGTAGTAGTAGTAATAGTAGTAGTAGTAGGTGGCCTACGGTGAGCGGTACGTAACGAGAGTCTTATTATCGATCGGATTATGCAATGTGAACACACAATGACGCGCGGTACTTTGCGTACAGAAATATATTATTATAGTCTTTTAGTTTCGATAAAAAAGTTCAGTTCCCTCCTCGATTGATTCCCCATCTCGAGGTGGCGCGCTTTCTTTCTCTCCCTCTTTCACTCTCAATCTCGCTCTCGCTCTTTCTTTCTCTCTTTCTTTCTCTCTCTCTCACACACTCTCGCTCTCTCACTCTCTATAACTCTTATACTCTTTCTTTAATATTCTATTTAAATCGTTCAGCTTTCTCTCTCTCTCTCTCTCTTTCTTATTTTCCTTCTCTTCGTCTTTCGCTGTCCTGACGTGGTTACTTTCTATCGTCCACTGCTCTTTTCGTTCCTTTTAATTCTTCGCCCGCCTGAACGATTCCTCCTTTCCCTTTCCGCCCTCCTTCGTTTGTACAACGCAACGAACACACACATTTATATTATTTATATTATTTATATATATATATATATGTATATATATACTTTTATATAGTTATTATACATACACAAACAAAGCCTTTCCCCATTCGGCTCGAGTCCTCGCTCTCTCTCTTTCTCTCTTACTTTTTTTCACGGGCTCTATTTCTCCGTTTTTCTCGGTTCGTTTGTTGTCGTTTGTTGTTGTCTGTTTGTTCGGTTCTCTTACTCTTTTTTCTGTGTGTATATATTTATATATATGTATAGTATGTATATAGGTATTCAGCTTCGTTTATCGTCACTTTGTTTAATTACTATCTTTGAATTGCTGAGTTCAATAGGAAAGGAACGTAGAACATTTTACTCTCGAGTAGTAGAGCCGCCGCCGATTGTACCTGCAATTTAGGAAACAGACGGATTCCATTTAAACGGCAACACTTTTACGACAGCTCTTGTGTTTTGGCGCGAACAGAGAACAATCGTGCGATTGAAATCACCGTTAGACATGAAACTTTCTTTATATCAGTCGAAAATTAAACGCTCGATATAGTCAGTTCGATCAATTTAGCTGGATTAATGTGACTTTTATTCGAATTTGTGGGATAAGCAATCTCAGTTAATTAATTTAACGTCAGCTTGAAGAATCTCATCGACAGCGCGATCCTTGAAAATCTCTAAAGCGTACTTCTTCTCAACTCACCTCGGGCAACCTGATGAGAAGCTCGTGAAATCGAGTCGGCTGCTGAGGCGCGCTGTGCTCGACATAACTTCGCAGACAGTTCATGTACCGTTCTTGTATCTGTTCTAATTCCGTTGTACCTCCTCGTGCTAAGACAGACAAACGAGATCAGTTGAAACGTACATTCAATGCAACAAGCGTTTCGCAAAGTTCGAGACGGAATTCGAATTGTCACAAATTGGAAATCAACAAGAGTAGAATCTTCACGACACTCGCGGCTCATGAAGATTCTACTCTTGTTGATTTTCCTCATAGACTTAAATTTCCCGTCCAGTCTTAGAAATAAGAGGAAAAGAGCCGAATTGCAATCTACATAAAAAAAAAAAGATCCGTGAAATTTTCTACACATGGGAAAATGAAATGTGTGCGCGCGGACGCTCTTTAGAAAGTATCTTGGACTTACATTTCGCGTCTCCAATTGCAGCGTTGGAAAGAAGATACGTCAGATTATATTATAATGTCATATCATGTAATCGAGGAAGTTAAACTACGCGATAATAACGGAGTCAGTGTGAGCAACAGAGCTGCGCTCGGCACGTCGCGTTTAGTGAAAGTACTTACCTTGTGAGAGCATAGTGATTACTTTTAGACAGACGTACTCCTCCATCCGTAGCCTCACCCGCCTGAACATTAGCGTGACGTACGTGATCTTTTCCACCATGACCCCTACGTCTTGCCGTAATTGGTCCATGGTTATCGACCGACCCATCATGCTGGTTAGGCACGTTTGCAACGTATACATGTTGTTCGACACCTGGTCGTGAAAAATGAGCAGATTCGGATATATTGCATGCTTAATTTTCGAGTAGGAAACATACATTTTCTCACACTTGGAAACCCGCTACGTTAGTGGTCATGAACTGATGATACAAGGGAAAACTTCACTGGCGATTATATTCATTGAATGTGGCGGAAACATTGACTTTAAAAACTATATTTTGAAAAATGCCTATTAATAAGGATACATGTGAATCGTTAAAATTCCATTATATTACTCGATACGACTTAATATTTTCTTCTTTCATAAGGTAAAATATCAAGTTTTCTTTTCATAAGGAATATAATTTTGGTTGATTCTTTTTTTATTAATCTATCATACTCCGCATGAAAGATGAGAAAAATTTATTATTTTCATGACTTTTGAAAAAGGTGCGTGGAGTCGTGCAGAAATTCTCTCTCTCTTTCTCAGCAGAAATATATTATTGCGCGACATATATGTATGACGCATGTATATTCGCAAGTTATCATGAAGATACTTACTTCCTGCATAAACTCCGTACCCGTCTCGTCGGTACCGACACTGGTGAACCTGTGCTGACCATGCATCGCTTGATAGGCGGAGGTGGTCAGCACGAGGAGTTCATGCCACTTGTGGGTGAGCAGCCTCGTGTGAACTTCAACCGGCAGCTCAAGGTAAAACGGTAACCTTTTGGTCCACTGCACCAACTTGTACACTATGCTGTCTCCTATCTGACACAGCTTCTCACTTAAGTCTGAGTTATGGTCCAGCAGCTCGTCCAAGTTCTGTAACACGAGTAATGTTCATGTTCAATCTTGGAGCGAGACGGTTCACTCGGAAATTAACCGCTGCGAGACGTGTCACCGTGTATATTTAACTTCTTAATTAAGAAATACTTCACCGAGATGCAGAAAGAGAAATCAGCTTAACAAAGTAAAGCCATACGCGCGCGTATATATTCAGCTTTTTAATTAAAAACATGTGTATTCCGGTAAAAAAAGATTAGTCTAGAGAAGTAGATTATTGTTAACTATATTAAATGATAAAACAGAGACTTTTATTAGTGACTCACGCGTTGTGCTTGGGAAACTTGCTTTGCAAAGATGTATTTTATACCCTAGAACCTTGGGATAAAATTTACCCGGACTTTTAAACTTTACCATCAAAAACATTGTTTTGTTTTTTCATTAGTTTGAAACTTTGATTTTTTCGAAAGTTTTGAGCAAATGCGCTGAATAAAATTTATCCATATTTTGGGTTTACGTAACTCCTTGATGTTCAGGGTTCTAGAGTTAATATTCAAATGCTGTCTCGTCTGAAGAATCCGATGGTCTATTGGTGTGAAAGGTCGTGTACGTTTCATCATGAGAAGGACGAGAGAATTAACGTACCCTCAATGTGGCGATATCTTGAAACTCGTCGCAGTCTATGAGGGTTTGGATCATGGTTAGGGTCGCGTCCAGAGGAAAGGCTCGATCCCTCGAACTGCTTACTGCATTGTCTAGCCTTGGCCGTAAATGCACCACCTTAAACATACATAGTTTTCCTCGTGGACACAAAACATCCATTTTCCTCTAGGAGCTCTTCCATCAACGCAACATATATCGTTCTTACGTTCTCCCGCGGAGTACATGACGCTGCTTCGCACATATAACTCGTGGATTTTCGCATATACATGCATTTCACGTTTAGATTTACATTATTTAAAATATACTCGCGTCGTTCAGAACCGAAGATATACTCGATCACCTCGGCTCGTTATTTCCTAAGTCAATTCCCATCGACTACGTTGTCCGTGCGGCTTTCGAGCCTTACGTTTACGCGACCTTAAGGATTTTCCACGGCGCGGAAAAGTCATCCCTGACCAGATGGATAGATCCAGGCGATAATTACGATTCCGCCTGCACATTCCATCCGTCGTGCGCGCAATCGCCGTGGAGTTCGGCGGCCGCGTGTTGTTGGCTTCCTACGTAAGGCCCCGTCAGGCACAGCCTTTCACTGACCTTTCGGACCTCGAAACACTTCCTCGGGGTCGGGTATTCGCGGGCACGGAGTGCACGGAAGAGACAGAGAGAGAGAGAGAGAGAGAGAGGGGGGAGTGGGAGGAGAAAGGTAGAAAACGAAAGAGACAACTCGTCGACTCGGTTTCTGGCCGACTTCGGGGAAAGCTGCTGGTCGCTTCGTCGGATACCTTTAAGGTCCACGCGACGATCGTGGAGAACCGTGGGACGCGTTCGTAGTCGAAGGCGCGCGACGAGGAAGGTGCGGGAGTGATGCGGGAGGAGAAGGAGATACACACAGGAGGTGGTTGGGAGGAGGAGGAGAAGGTGGAGGAAGCGCGGGAGGGAGGGTGAGGTCACTGTCCCCCGTGCAGACTTTCACGAGTTACGAAACCGCCGGAGAACTGCCCGTCCTTGGCACCGGCTGCCGCTGATTTTCTATTGTCCCTACCTTCGTCGGTGTTGTCGTCGTTCGCCACAGCGTTTCCACGCAGCGGCGGATGACGATGACGGACGACGTTTGACGATCGTTGTACATATAGCGTTTGCAAGGGATCTTTTTGCGAAGATCTCTCTCGCAGATATCCGCGATAACCTGTTTATCTTTGCAAACCGACCATACGATATGACGACACCCAAGAATATGAATCGCGTTTTTACTTATCATAGACTTGTCACGGGGAAAAATTTATCTTTCGAGCCGATGAAAATAAATTAATACCGAACAGTGAACGCATCTCTCGCGATAGCTTTTGCTGAAATTAACCGACCGTTCGAATGAATTATTTTCGCATTACTTTCGCGGCCGAAAAGGCCCGGATATCTTTTCCTCTGTCTCTCTCTCCCTCTTAAGAAAGCGATCTCGTCTTCGTGACTTTTTATCTTTCGCGAAGTATCCGCTTCGAAGATGAATGTTCGCCTCGTGCATCTCACGTACGATGACTCGGTCGCGCGGCTCGAAAGTGACCTCCTTAATGGAGCACCGCCAGCCGCGGCCAATATTTATCCGGTTTTGACGGCATCGGTTTCACTTTTGGCAATGGCCTCTACCGGGCCATTCGCGCGATCGCGAGCAGTTCCTCCGTTTGCTCATCCGACACGGGACATATTTTTCGGTTACTCCCGCCTGAGTCGTCTCGGCTGAGAAATTTGGGACACGAGCCTCGCGATTCGGATATCCCAAGTCATAGTCGGCGAGGAAAATCGCTTCATTCTATTTTAATTGAATCACTAGCGTTAAATCACCCTCGTGAGTGCTCTCTTCCGTAATCACCTCGGCGAAATTAATCATTATCGCGTAACTCCTAAAACGTTACATCAGGGAACTCGAGAAAAAGTCTCAAGTCTTTGTCGAGCGCAGAAAATTCAGAAAATTCTTCGCGCGCGTTTCCTCTTTAAAATTATGTCATACAGCGGCACACGATATTATTTTGTAAAAGTATGTAATTTTACGACGATCTCGTATTACACGAAGAGCGTCGACGATGACGACGAGGACGTTAATGACGATCGGTAGACTCTCGCGAGCAGGCTACTCGCTCGTTCTATCTATCAGCTTTCGTAATGTGGGAAACCTTGAGGCTTGCGCAAGTTGAGTCGTAAGAAAGTGAAATTGCAACGGGGAGTTCATTCATTTCAGAATCAGCGCGAGGGAAACTGACCGACACACGCCGCGGGCGCACGAATTCGGTATTTACTTCGCGCAGTTCGACATTGTCGTGCTGAAAATCGAACGAATTCTCTCTGTTCATCGACGAAAGTAAGCGCCTTACCATAGCAAATATTCTAGCCTAAAAGGTCGTAAAGAAAGGTATTTTTTCGGAAATTTTTCTACCTAGGAAAACGAAAAACCGTCAAACTTTTTCTTTCTCTTTTTATTAGAGATTTTTTCTTCAAAGTCTTGTTAGTATTTTATTAAAAAGAAAAAACTAATAAATAAATGTCTAATGTATGTTCTAATTTAGGCAGTATAACCAAATTTTTCCTGATGAAGGAAAATGTTTTGTTTTCATGTTTCAAATATCTAGAAGAGCTATAATTACTTACACCGTCTAAAATTTGACATTATCTGGTTATTTCGTTTCTCTACAATTTCGGGAAAATATCTGTCTTTGCGATATTTTGAATTAAAATATCTCCTTAAAACGTTTATCTAAAAATGTAATTACCCGACGACATAAGAACAGGTTAATTAGTCGCTGACAAGTCTATCCATCAACGTCGATTTATGCGTGCTCCTTTCTCCCGCGAATAATTATTAATTTTTTCCCCCTCGGTATATTAACTTCCGATTCTATGCTTGTCACACGGACGAGGCCTTGATGTGTGATTCTATGAAAATTGTTGTGCGAATATCTTTCTTTTGCGAAAAATTCTACAAGGCCACCGTTCTCTCCGATTTATCGATGACGTCTCTGTGACGCTAATCGCACATTTTCTGTCTCGCCATTAAAGGGCAGTAAGACCAGTAGGATCTCTGGGGAACTATTTAATTAAACGGTTATCACGTACAATCTATCATCAGTCCCTTTTCTAAGGCGCGCTAGGCAGAACGCGAAGTGCGACACGCTCCGTGATGATTAATCCAAGATTCCTACGCGCAATCGCAACAGGTTCTTCGCCGTCATAGATTCGCAGATATCGATGATGCAATTCTGACTTCATCGAAGTGGTTCGATCTCTGTTTTCCCGCGAAAAGGATATCGGTATCGTGTGCGATCCCGAGCGCGTGGCGCGTGCTTTGCGACCGGAAAATAGACCGCAAATCGAAGTGGCGGAAACGGAACGCGGAATTTTCACGAGTGCATCCTCGGCTTCAGCGCGAGTAGATGACGGAACCTCGCGTTAGCTTTACCCTCACTCACTTTGACTGGACGTTGCTAAAGTTGCATTCCAAATCTATTTCAGAGCTCATGTTATATGTATTACGGATTTCCAGTAAAATTTTCCTCAAAAGGAACGTTTTGGAACGCAATCTAAGGGAGAATTCACATCTTGGTAGAAAAGCAGAAAGTACACTGAGAGAAAAAAATAGTTGGAATAATTATATTTCATGGTTCTATATTTCTTATATTTCATCTCATTATATTTTATGGTTCGTTTTGGCTTCAAACATATATTTATAGTTCATCTAAACACGAAGATAGAGCAGAATGAACACACATTTATAGTCACCATCTTATTACTCTATGTGTATAGTAAAGCACGTTTTGGGAATATAGTTACATGTACCCATATTTTCCAAATATTCCAATTGTATTGACTATATAAAATGGTTAATTTCTCTTACCATTTAATATTTGCTACCTTACTATGTGTTTTATTTCAAATAATAATAATTCTTGATAAAAGTTTTACATGAGTCAGTTATACTATGCTTATATTGTAAATATTACAAACATTATGGTGACATTTACTATAAAAAAGATATAATCTTTTACTATGCCATTATAGTTACAAATATCATACATTTTTCTCTCAGTGCGGAAAGGCAAAACCCAATTAAAATTCGCGCTGGTGGTCAGGTGGTAGTCAACGGTTCCTGCTTTCCTACCAGCGCGAGTTCTGATTGACTTTAGTCTTCCTGTTTTCTACTTTCCCGCTAAGGTGTGAAATCTTCCTAAGACGTTTAATTTTGTCAAGAAACGAATTTAATAAGCGCGTAAATAACGGCACAAAGAAACGAGTCTCGCAGGCTTGATCGTTTGATCAAGCCAGGACGAAAGATCGTCATCGTGGCGAGGATTTCGAGCGGTCTTGCCGCCGCATGCAGCTGCCTCGAAAGTGAAAGCGAAGATGCCTGCGGGACGTTCTCGTCAGAGAGCACCGGATTCCCCTGCCTGCCGGCGGCCGCGGCGAGGAGTCAACTTTTGTGTTGACCCACGCTCGCGATTTCTAACCGGGACTACGCCGACTACTAAATCACGTAAATCGCCGATGGCAAGCGAGAGGGATCCGCGGAGGGTCGAAGCAATCGCGCGAGGACGTTGATCTACATGTACCGCCGTCTCGCCGATCGAAACGCAAAAGGAACGAGCACCACCTCCTCTCGCGCACAGATGGGTGACGGACTTTCGGATCGCATAATCGCGCTCCGATCGTGGACCGGCTTTTAGAAAGTTTCCGCGAATATCTCACGCACATCACACTTCAGCGACGGCGGGTGTACGTACGTGCACGTCCCGTCCGTGGCTGAGATTAATCTGCATTACGTCGGCGACACAACAACGACGACCACGACGACGAAGACGACGACGACGATGATGATGATGACGGGGTTCGCCTGCTGCAGCTTGTCTTGCGTAACGCACGGAGATAATTAGGGGAAATGAGTAAAAGCTATTATGCGCTGTTGCAACGAAACTAGTTCTCTGAGACGCGCCACTTCGTTTCGCGAGGCACGCGGAAGAAGGCGAGATGGATTGCCTCGCGATCCGCTTTGGCGAACTGCTCGCGCCGAAGGCGAGAATTCGCACGGTTCAGTCCCCGCGGTCGTCGAGGATAAATCATTCGACGTGAATGCGTCGAATGAATATTTCTTTTCGCTCTCTGTGCTCGATGCTGCGCCGCGGTATATTATCGTGCTACTTCGCAATTCCGCGGGAGAACTGCGAACATCCGAGTCTTCGGGCGATTTATCGGGTCGTTCGCTTACAATTTTCATACACTTCGATTAATTTATTAAACATATTTTCTTTTAATAAAAAAAATATATATGTAATCGATTATATATATAATAATTACATAACTCCGAGAATTTTGTTGAATTAACAAGATACTGTATACTCAAGATCGACCAGACGTTATCTTTCTCATGTCGAGAATTATAATTGTCCCGCGGAATATGTAAAATGTTAAGCCGAAAGTCAGAAGAAATTTTCCAAAGTTTACATTTGGTCATTATGTTTCTATGATTAATTTTTTTAACTTCGAACGCGATTTAACCTCACGAAGATGATTACACGAAGAGAATATTATAGTTTTTTTCACATAAAATTCTCAATTTTATTATGTTTCTAATAATGCAGGAATACACGGAGAAAATATTATAGTTTCTTTTTTTTCATATAAATTTTTTTCAATTTTATTATGTTTTTTTGGTAGTCCAGGAGTAGAGTTAATAAGATATATTTATCTGTTAATAAGGTATATTTTGCTAAGAAACATAATGAATGTCGCTGAAAACAGCAAATTCACTAAAAACGTAGCAAGTTTCGCTAGAAACATAACAAGTGTTTTAATTGCACGGAAGGATAGTCGATTACTGCAAAATTTCGATCTATTCTTCAATTACAAAGTTCTATTACTAAAGCAATTTCTGTTATAAAATTCTCTCCGCGTGCAGTAAAAGTGGATGAAACATTATATGAATAACCGATCATTCGAGTACTCACTTCAGAGGGATTGGTAAGCGCCGTCTTCAGGATCGTCCCGTTGACGAGGTGGCCCGTATGCGCGGGGTGGCTCGGGTGGCTGGGGGTAGGTTGCGAGTTGAGCGGATCGCCCGACGAGATTTTGTGATGATGAAGGAAGCTGCCGGCGAGCTGCGCATGCTGCTGCTGCTGCTGCTGTTGCTGCTGCTGCTGCTGCTGGCTGTGATGAGCCGCCGCGGCCGCAGCCATGTGTTTGTCCAACATGGTCGAGCCCATGGTGCTTTTAGTGCCACCCAAGGAACCCGACCCGTTCACACCGCCGACGTTGCCGCCGCCACCCATGCCGCCTCCCATGCCGCCACCGACGCCGCCCGCCTTGTTACTTTTTTTGTGCTTCTTGTACTTCACCTGCGGTCAACAGGCGACCTTTCACATCGATCAAACGCGCCGCTCGACAATATGGATCACGTCCATATTACGTCCGAATAGACGACATCAGCCACAAGCAAAGGAATGTAATATTAGCTAAATCTTGGTGACTGATTCAAACTTAGTTAAACTAAAAGTTAAACTAAAAGATTAATACACTGAGGGAAAAATTACCTTAAAATCAACAAATATTTCTTTGATGGATGCCATTAACATATTTACTTAAATCTAAATTCTCTTTATTTAAATCAAATATTGTTTTCTTGATTTAAACAATATTTGGTTTAAATAAAGAGAATTTAGATTTAAATAAATATGTTAATGTTAACATATTTATTTATGAATAAATATGTTAATGTTAACATATTTATTTATAAATAAATATGTTAATGTAATATATTAACCCATCAAAGAAATATTTGTTGATTTTAAGGTAATTTTTCCCTCAGCGTAGTTTTGCTCTTATTGTTAAGAGCGAATTCACACTTTGACAGGAAAGCAGAAAGATAGAAGTCAATCAAAACTCGCGCTGGCAATCAGATGATAGTCAACAGTTTCTGTTTTTCTACCAGCACGAGTTCTGATTGGCTTCTGCCTTCCTATTTTCTGCTTTTCTACCAAGGTACGAGTTCTCTTAAAAGTCGCCTATTGCAAATAAAATGCACTCGCTGTGAGGTCGAAATTTATTAGTCAAAATTAAAAGCGCACATTTGTTTGTTGAGTAGCTCAAAACGTGGCAGCTAAATATCTCATATGCGCGCGATGTGCGTGACTTTTCTAGGCAGTGAAATGGGTTATATCGCTTGCCTGATTTACACCGAACGTTTGATACGCGTACTAAATAGTAACTTTCTATTAAATAATTTTTATATTGACAATGCATGTCAACGACGATGTATTTAATTGATACAATACAATTTTCTTGATTAGTATTATACTATAATACACCGTTGTGTAACACATATGCCCGTGCCAAGGAAAAAAGTGGTTGTCACATTTTTAAGAAAAATGAATTTTTTATACTAATAGATTCGTAACAAAGAACTATGTCTAACTATATCGACAAAAACTAAAAATTATTATTATTTATTGAAATAAAAACGGGTCCACTTTATAGATAAAAGTTTCGAATATGACAAAATAGCCAGAAAAGAAGCCGTAATTGACAAAAAAATTGTACGACGCGTCCAATACGTCACAAAAATACACGTGAAAAATACCACAACATCCATTAATGCTTTCTTCTCTGGCAAAAGCATTGATAAAGCATAGTCCTTATTACAAAAGAAAAGCCTTTCGTAGTTACGATTTTCTTGTGTTGAAAACTATTAAGTCACTTTTTTTCTCTTGTATTTTCAAAAAGCAAGAACCTTAAGTGAATTTTCGAGTAGTAAATATTTAAAAAATTAATTTTTTATTGCAGAATAAAAAAAACGTACCCGATTTATCCAATACATGCTTTTGTATTCATAGAGATTTACTTTTCCATTACGATTCTCTACTGTTCTCGCAAACAGTTTTCGTCAATTTTCTCAGTTTAAAGGCAAATGTAGTCAACCACTTTTTTCCTTAACACGGCAGATATATCATCGATATTAAGATTATTTAATAGAAAGTTATTATTTAATATTATTTAGTTATCAAACGTTCGGTGTAAATTATACAGCTTGTATCGGCGCACAGTGGACGATTTAACTATCTTTCAGGGCAAAAATTTGTTCCGCCACAATTTTTTACCAATTGCAATGATTTTTTTTGCAAATTACTCGTTAGACTTTCAGTTCAAATTACTACTTGCTACAAAACGCTGTTATTTTTTTGTGGTCTTACAATAGAAGATGAAAAAATGCCAAAGAAGTATGAAAAATTGAAAAAACTTTGTTGTACAAAATCAATCGTCATAGAACATGATGCAGATATAACATGAGATAAAATATAAAGAAATATAAATGAAATCGAGTAGCTACAAAATTCTAAATCCTAAATCCTGAACCTTTAGACCCTAAGTCCTTGAACCCTTCAACTCTAAGCATTAAATCCTAAAGCCCGAAACTTTGAAACTGTAAATTCTAGGTTCTTAAACTTAAAGTTTATGTAGCCACTCGATTTCATTTATATTTCTTTATATTTTACTTCATACTATATCTACGTCAAGTTTTATGACGATTGTCTTTTGCTTTGTACAACAAAGTTTTTCCAATTCTTCATACTTCTTTGGCGTTTTTCATCTTCTATTATAAGACCACAAAAAAATAACAGCGTTTCCGCAATTTGTAGCAAGTAGCCATTAGAACTAAAAGTCCAATGAGTAATTTGCAAAAAGAATCATTACGATTGGTAAAAAATTGTGACGGAACAGATTTTTGTCCCGAAAGGTAGTCAAATCGCTCACTGTGCGGCGCACTGTTTTGATCTGTTCTTCTCAGCTGCATTGCTGAACTGGTGCAATAAGTTAGAGTGAGAAAAAATATACTTGTCTCACGTAGGCTGCGTTCGCTTTGGGCGCTTATGCGCTGTAAGCATCATTCTATCTTCTTCCCACATGCAATGAGCGATAAAGATAGAATGACGCTTACAGCGCGTAAGCGCCCAAAGCGAACGCAGTCTTTAACTTATTGCACCAGTTCAGCAGTCACTACGAGTAGCTGAAAAGAACAGACCATCTGCTGCCAAAGCGAGGTGAACGACCGCGCGCCGTTTGCTTCCGAAACGGGGTGAACGGCCGCGCGCTGTTCGCTTCCGTAGCGAGGTGAACGACCGCGCGGTCGCAACAAGTGCGCGTGCGCCGTCGTATCGCGTATTGGACCGCGGAGTGGGGGTAGCGAGCCGCATACCGTCACGTGCCGCGTGACCTTTCGGAGACAATAGTCGCGTTCCGCATTCCTGTCATTCGCCGTGTCGTCACGTTTTCGCGCTCGCTGGCGACAATAACGCCGAGCGATCTGCAACGCGGGTCGGCACGAAACGTTAATAACTCCACTTGTAGACGTCGTAGTGACTTGAAACAAGAACCATTGGAAAGGGGAAATTACCGCGCTCCCGGTAAACGTGAAATCGTTCTTCCGCAGCATGCAGATCAAATGTCATGTAAGTACGAAAGACATTGATTCTTGTATCTGCGTTAAAGCGGATATTAGATATTAATTATTATTAGTTATTAATTATAATTGTAATTAATTAGTGATTATTATTAGGTATTAATCTCTGTGTTAAAAGCCAGTGGGGAGACTTAATTTGGATTTGCAATGCGAAGCGTTAGTTTTATGTTTTTACGATTACAAAATGCAATTTCGAGAAAAGCGAGACGATAATAATGCGTTAATAATTGTGATAATAATGGCAACTTTTTATTTAGCAGTGAATACTTTTTACCGTTGCGCCAAAGTCCAAGTAGCTATAAATTTAACTTCGGTAGCAACACGACAGTTCTTCCTATTTCAATAACATTTCTAAGTTGCCACTATACTTTAACTCCTGTGACTAATTCTTCTTCTCCGTACAAACAAGATATTTTATTTCGCACCAATTACTTGAGATTTTATCGGTTGCTCGGATATGCGGTCGCGTGTTGTTTTTTTCGCGGATAGAAGTACAATACGAGTAAAATTTTTCATTGAAAAGAAAATAGGAACACGTATAGATCTCTCTGTGAAATTTTTTCGATTTTCGTTGTGTCCCTTCCAAAGCAGGAGAGAATGAAATAATAAAAAACCTGAAATCTCATGATTTTCTGCCAAATGTAGGCGATTAAATTCGCAAATGAGAACGAATTATTCCGCCGAGTTTTGCGACTGATTGTTACATTATTCCTAGTTGTCTGTTTCTCATTATCGCAGTGCGCTCGGTCATCCGCGACATGTGTGCATTCTCTCATCACTGGATATTCGAAACGCAAATGCAAATAAGGCTAGAAATAATAACGGTAATACGCGCAGATAAATCGATAAAATCGGAAAGATCTTTCTTTTCGTGCAAATTAGCATTTTCCGCTCGTGCAAAAGTGTCAATAATTGTTTATTTAATGTAATAAAACTCGGGTATATAATTAACGAGCTTAGTAGACGATCAACGGTGAGATTTTAATTCGAAAGAGATTACGCGTGTTGTTTGCGCGCAACAAGTTAACGCGAATTTGCGCGAATATTACACGTCGGAGCGGAGGAACAGAATCGTTCGATTGAGATTTTCGTCTGGCACGTACCTTGTAGAGGTTGTACACGGCACCGGAATTCCTGCCCCCAGGCATCCGGTCCTCCCGAACCGCCTGCAGGACCATACCCTGTTCGATGCACTTTTTAAATCGGCAGTACTGACACCTGTTCCTCTGCGCCTTCGTGATCTCGCAGCCGCCTTCCGCTACACACGTGTACACCCGCCTATTTTGTACAGTCCTCTTGAAGAAGCCTTTGCACCTGCGGACAGATCAAACTCTCTCGTAACTTGTAATTGAGCTTGCCAATTTATCCAAAAATTCATCGTCGCGCTTACTCATCAATTTATGGTCGTAGGAAGTGTCGATTGCAGGATAATAAATAGCAGATTACGCGACGTTAGGAAAAGCATTACTCCAAAGATTTACAGTTTTCTCTTAATTGAAGTTTTTATAAATTTTGTATTTCTATTCTATGAGTTTCTGAAAATCTCATCTCAATCTCTCAATTTGTTACATGAAAGTGCGAGCATTCGTTGCAATGTTCAATATATTTGATTTCGACGACGAAAAACTTCAAATTATCTAATTCTCTTATATTGATCAAAATTATCAACAAATTAACACGTTTATCACGATTTATTTAAAGGATTCTCTCTGCAGCTCACTTCGTATATATATTTTTTACGTATTTGTGTAAAACAGACTTAGTTTGATAAAGGTTAATATAGAAAAAAGATTTTTCACGTCACACATATGTGACGTTGATAGCGAACGTGTTACAAAAATAAAAAAAGTGTATATGAAAATCCAGACGCTTTAGACGATCTTCGAGATTTTGTTTTCGGTACTTGTATGCGAATAACTGTGCCCGTATCGTACATTATCGTTATAATTTTAGCGAAGCACGCGTCAGCTCTGATTTTATCGATAAGACTGTTTCTCTTGGAAAGTACCTTTCTGTAGGATACAATGAAGGTTGAATCAAGGATTCATCCGCGCGGAGTTATGAGTATCGTGGGTACCGGGAAAAACTTGTCGCGGACTTTTCTCGTCTAATCTACTCACTCGTTCGCTCGCTCGCTCGCTCGAGACAACGAGAAAGTTGGACAAGGACGCTGGCACGAGCTCGCGTGCGCGAGGAAGTATAACGACACCCCGTGGTAATTTCGCAGACTAATCAAAAGTGTTGCTTGAGACGTCTACGGAGCATAGTCAAGGTGCAACAAGTACTTCTCGCCTCGTGTTGATGTCACTAGGACGCGCGAAGACGGGAGTCGAGAACTATGGGATTATCCTGGTTAATTTTTAATCTCGTTACAAAGTACGGTGCTTGCGCGGAAAGTAATATACTTTGACGGAATACATACACAATTTCTCTCTCTCTCTCTTTCAGTGGCTGCTAAGAATTTCAGTGTTTGTTATTAACAAGATCTTTAGAATGAGAACGTTTGTTCAAAATTTGGAATATACCAATGCTTTTTGTAGAGAAAGTGTCTCAATTACTTTTTTCGTTATCTTATTTTACCATGAGACGGACAAATAGATAAATTTCTAGGGAAAAGTGGTCACTAGCTAGAATTGGCCAGTTTTTCCTGACTAGGGTGTATTAGACAGCAACTGTTCAGAAACTGGACAGGAAAATACTAACTAGTGTTTCTTAGTTAGTGGTCAGAAACTAGGAAAGAAAAAAAACTTGAAGATTTAGATAATTAATAGTAAATTAGGTAATAATTTACTAATAGGTAGTTAATAGGTAATTAAAGATAAAGTCACAACCATATCAACGAATGAATTTGCATGTGAAAAACTGTTCTGAAACACGAGCTTCATATTATTTTTATGTTAAATAATACAATATCTTATAGAGTAGAGAGAATTAAACAGTGAAAACTGTTTAACAGAATCTTATACAAAAAGAAAGTTTGGTTAAAAACTAATAAACAATTGATTAGAAACTGACTAGAAGTGGACTAGTTTTACTATCCAATTACTGATGAAATAAGAGCCGCCTAAACTGACCAGAAACTACCCAGACAACATAATGTCTAAAATCGGAACATAAGACGTCTTAAAGATAATCTTTAAGACACCTTAAAGACATTTATACGTAAATCGTCTGAAAGACATCTTAAAGATGAGCTTTAAGACGTTTTATGTCCCGATTTTAGACATTATATTCGTTTTTAGATATTATTGTCGTCTGGGTAGTCAATAACCAGAATTTCTGTCGAGTTGCTGTCTAGAAAGAGGCCGCTCTTTCTATTTGGGAAGTGTCTTGCGTCTCTTTCATATTATGTATCCAATCGGTTCAAAGTATGAAATGAAAAAATTTGCAGCTCGGGAAAATAACAATAACGATATAGATCGGGGATATAAAACATACAAATAAATCTGCAGCATACTCAAATTATTGAAAATTTCACTGCAGAATTCAATTGAATGCACACGCTTGACTATGCAATTGGCAAAGGTCAAAAGTCGCGACAGGTGACACGTGTTTGTGATTGGTGATTCTGACTATGCTCTCCGTAAATAATTTCGGTAATTAGCTCTAATTAAGCAAATCGGCCGATTTTTCGGGTTGCGTTTGAAAGACGCCTTCTCATTAGGAATATATGCGCGAGTTCAAATTGCTGTTAACCGGTCTCATTAGCGGGACTCGGTCGTGTTACGTACGTACGTACGCCCATCGCCAATGCATATGCGACTAAAGCGTGTTTGTCAGCAATGAAACTCCGCATAAACTCGTGAATCCAATCGCGAGATGCATCTTTCGCACGTGCAGATACGTAAATAATTGTGGAATATTCGCGCGGATTTCCACTGGTCGGGGCTTGCGCGAGTTCCGGGAAATATAGGATTGCTTTGAAGAACAAACGCAGAAAAAGGAGCACAAAAAGTTGAAAAATATGAAACTTGTGAGATACAAAGTTAATTTCTGCGAATTTTATGTATTTTTTATCTTTTCCGTACTTTTCCGAACTTTATATCGCACAAGCAAATCTTTGAGTATTCGTTTCTCAGTATATCAATCGTCATTACTGAAATTATTAAGCGTTAATATTTTGTGTCATGAGACCTCTTTAGTTCTTCACAGATTTAGTCAATCCTTATGATCGGTTGTCCGCAAAAGTGTGATCGTAAAATTTCAGAATTATAATAAATAGAAGAATTCTGAAATAAATAACCTTGATAGATAGATTGATCTCGTCGCGCCGCGACGATCCGCTTTGCGCCATAGTCGTCTCATGCAAAACGGATGACCGATATCGCACGATCGCGTAGACATGGTAACAGCACTTACCCTTCGCACGTGATGATACCGTAATGCAGGCCGGTCGCCTTGTCCTCGCAGATCATGCAAATCATAGGCGTCTCGTCCTCCTCGTGCTCCTGGGGTGGCAACGGCGGCGCCGGCGGCGCTATTGATATAGATTGCGAGGCCGCCTCGGACTTGACGACCCCGCCGTTGCTCACCCATGGCTGGCCGGAACCGGAGGCGGTCAGGTTCAGCGCCTGCATCTGTTGAGCGGCCGGCAGCTGGGTGAGATCGCCGGCCCATAGCCTCTCCATGTTGAGCGGTGGTCCGGACGAGTACGACACCGACGAGGTGGGCGGCTTACCCCTGGACTCTTGGCCGAGGTTCAGCAGCAACTGGGCGGCCGACTCCTCCGATGAGGAGCACGATGCCGCCGCCGCCGCGGTCGTCGTCCACGACGCCGCAGGCGGCGGTACCGGGTCCAGCGGCGCCGACCATATCATCGTCCGGACGCCGCCGATCTCACCCATTATCACTGTAGGCGGGGGCCGCGGTGGTGCCGGCGCTGCTCTTTGCGCCGGTGGTTTCATCCCTTCGCCTAGAAACACGGTAGATAAGCGTTACCTGGAGAGATCGATCGCTTTCGAAAAGATATTACACACTGCGAAAGAAAATATCGAAGAAAATTAATCCTCGATTTAAGTTAGGTTTCTTAAAATTTTGTTGCACAAACTGCGATATTTAATCCGCGATGAGCAGCTTGACGAGATGGAAATGTTGTCGTGTATAATAGGGGTGTTTCTTCTATCACCTACGAATTAACCTAACTGCGCAAAAAAAGAAGCGGCCGATTCTCTAAGTAGAAAATTAAGTAAATTAAATGATATTGTATAGGATATCAATGTTACATTTGTCGTAAAGCATCGGGTGGTAGGAGAGAAAATATGCAGTCAAAAACACTTACATGAAGTCGCGGTGGTGGTGGCACCAGTGGTGACGCAGCTGGCGGCGTTCCCGCTGGTACCGCTGCTCGTGGAGACAGCGGTGGCGTTCTGGCCGTAGCTAACGCTGCTGATGACGCCGTTGAGTAGCCTCTGCGTGGCGAATCCCTGCACACCGGTGTTCTGCGACCAGAACTGATGATGGTGCGCCAGCAAGTGCGGCGGTACCGAGGGTGCGCGCGGCCTCGTCGGCGTTGGCGAGGTCTGCGGCGCTTGTTGCTGCGGCCCGTGCGCGGTCCCGCCGCCCGGACTGACGCTCTGGCTCGGGTTAAACTGCGACGACGGGCTATTCCGGTGACTAGGTTGGTTGGAGGCATCCGGGCGAGCGCTACCGCCACCGGCATTGCCACCGCCGCCTCCACCGCCGCCTCCACCTCCGTCGAACACCGAGTTGTCGGACTCTTCCTTGGTCTGTGGGGACGATAAGTCACCTTTATCCGGACTGTCGCTCCTCGATGTGGCTTCTTGACCCATCGGAGTCGACGAGACCGTTTGAACCGGCGAGTAGGGCGACGATCTGGTTGGCGCGGGAGTAGCGGACCGTTGCTGCTGAAGCGGTTGTGGCTGCTGATGGTGGTGTTGCTGCTGTTGTTGCTGCTGCGGTTCGTCGACGACCCTGAAGCTCACCATGGGGCTGGCGTCCGGGAAGACCGAGTCGGGCGAGGCACGGTCCGGACACGTCGCGTCGTGGCCTTCCTGTCCGCTTCCTCCACCGCCGCCGCCGCCGCCGCCGCCGCCGCCACCAGCACCACGGAGAGAGTCTCCTCGCGGTGTCCCCGGGCTGCCCAGCAGGTACTCGCTTTTCACTGTGACCACAGGGCAGCCCGGCGAGCTCGGCGTGTTTGCCTCCGGCGACAGGGTCGAGGTGTCGGCCATGCTCTCCCCTGGAGCAGGAAAGTTTATGGGTGAAGGTGCGTCCGCCGGCTGGTTCCCGAGTGGCGAGCCTTCTGATCCGAGGGATACCGGGGAGTCTGAGAAATAAGGCGTTGGTCTCACGTTTATACTCGGTGCACAGAGTATCCCGCGAGTCGTTCTTTTCTCGGACACGCTCAAGGTTGAACACGTGGCGCGTGTGTTGATCGTAACGCGTACGGAGGGAAAACACTGGGGGTCGGAGGAAAGGGGCTGCTGCGGGAGGATCAGAAAGTCCGGATGGGGTAAGGGAGATCACAGCATCGGGAAAATTGCGGAAGTCCATTACGTGTCGTCGACATTGCGATCACGTATACGTCTAATGCCAATTGGTAGCGTGAGAATAAGGGTGAAACGGTAATGAGTCGCCATGAGACGTAATGTAAGTAGGTCTCTCCCTTAAAGCATCCCATATCCCGATCGACATTCGCGTGAATGCGTTAGACCGCTTTGTTGGTGGCGAAACGGAATTAAATACAATTGATATAATGTCAAGCTGACTCACGAAAAACAAGTCCTGCTCTTGCTTATCACCGAAACAATAAGTGACAACAATGCCTTTCTATCTGACTTCGCCTCAATTGTTCTCACCGCAAGTAACAAATGTCTATGATCCGTACGTCCAAAATTTCAAACGTTAGAGAGTACAATTGGGGGTAAATATTTGCGCAATATGTTGGGCATTAACCAATTAAAATTATCTTCGACTAAAATAATCGGTATATCAATAATTAGAATTAATTAATCGTCATGTCAGTCACAAATAATCTCGTCGATTGATGAAATAAATTATTAATAAAACTTTGACCTGATTGATTGTTTGTATATATATATATAATTATAATTTTATATATATATATATATATATATATATATAAAATTACGAGTAACCTAATCGATTGATGAAATAAATTATCAGTATACAATCAATCAGGTCAAAGTTTTACTAATAATTTATTTCATCAATCGACGAGATTATTTGTGACTGTGTATATGACGATTAATTAATTAATTCTGATGATATATATATATATATATATATATATATATATATATATATCTCGATTGATTAGTTTCGATTATTAATTGGCCGATAATTTTAGTCAAAGGAAATCTTAATCGATTAATGCTCAACACTGATATTACGTGTCGCGCGACTGGTCGCACTGTAATGTGTACATTCACCCGTCAAGAAGTCGCAAACGGCATCGACGACAAATTCCGAGCGTATTACGTCTGATTATGTCAAGAGCTATAAGTAACCTGCTTATTATTGCGCAATCAATGCAGCATCGTGCACGCGCCGGGCAAAATAGAGATTTCTAACAAAAATAACGCCTTCCACAATAGATTTCGATACGCGAGGCGTGATAAATCCAACGTACTCTCTACACGCCCATAATCCCGCGTGGGTGCTATGCTCTCTTTCCCTCTCTCATACACACACTCTCTCTCTATCTCTTCGTGTGGAGGATACTACTCCAAGTTATATCCGTGCGATAAACACGCCGTTCGTTTTACTCCGGCGCGTTTTATCACGCGATATAAGAGGGCATTTGTTGGAGGGCGCGGATCGCACGATCTCTCGCCTCTCCTCGGTTGGGAAACAATCGTTCCCTCGAATATTTAGACCTTCCGTGTAGGAAAGTGGCGCGAAGAAGCCGCGCGTCCAGGAGAAGCCGCGAGAGATTTCGTGCTAATATTAGCACTTAGGAGTTTCATTTCTCCGTGTATATTTCGTAAACTGATCTTCCGAAATGTCCGCGGGTTAGAAATCTTCTAAGTTGATCGCGCGGCGCGTACTGCCGATCTCTCGCATCTCTTCGCGAAAAGGATCAGTGAACTTTCGAAGGCGTGTCTCATTCCGCGCCACACAACCGCTGGAACAATCGCGCCGCGACTTCGATAAATCACGAGTGGCGCTCGTTATTGTTTGCACACGTTTATTTACGACTTAATTATCTCTCGCTAGTTGCCTCTTCGCGCGAGAACTTCGAAATATCGGCCGCGGGTTGGCCTATGACGGCACGCCGTATGAATTGCATACACGTAACGAATGAGATCAGTGCAGGTATCCGATATATGGAGTACAGGTTTCAAGACAACGATCGAGCAGTAAGGGAAGAATTTCAAAACATTTGATTGCCACGTACGTCCCTCTTGGCACGAGACTTCTCTCGGGAGAAGTAGCGTTTTTCTCGACAGTGGAAAGCGTTGTGTACTCCATAATGGAGAAATTACGGCGGTACCGTGTAATTGCGTTAAGGGAAAGACCCATTAGAGAGACCCGTTTTGCTCCAGGCGCGTTCTTACCGTACCCTGCGGTGCAGAAAGGTGCACCGAGATACACGTGCGACGGGAGTGGGGGAGGTAACCTTGCTGTAATCGTACAGAGTCTATGTCTGTATTTGCTGTTTGTCTGAAACGGAGGAACAAAAATATTCCACGTAGTCGCGTGCGATTTTAAATGTCATGTTTAATTCTACATATTAATATCTGACAGTTGTGCAATTATTACATTACTGAGATCCAATAATTATTTAAAATATTATTTAATTATTAGACTCAATTTAACACGATTAAATTATTCTTGAATATTGTTTATTCAACAGTAATTTAATAATTTTATCGTACAATTCTCTCTTCATAATGGCATTAAAGTCTATTTATATTTTAAAAATATAATAGATGCCCCTATTACTGAAATTACTCGTTTAGTATTCATATTTTCTCCCTCGTGTGAAAGAGAAAGTTGAAATACAGAGACATACGCACAGAAAAATGCATACTGTATTCAAATGAATGTGTTATTTGTTATTTCAATTCAAGTTTCTCATAAGTTTACATATTCGCAAATTTATCACAAGTCCATCCATAAGATCAAATTTACTTCAAATACATTCTAAATTCTACCAGGTTTAGGATTTCAATGAAGAAGAATTTAGCATTTCAATGAAGAATATTAAATTCAAACATAAATTCGATTCACACTTACACAAAGTCGAGCCAACTTTTTCATTGGTCAAATTTTATAATATTCTTGTGAAGAGAATAAACTCTGTACGTACATAGTAATGAGACTTTCTAAGATTTGTGACGAGTATATTTCAAGATTACTCTGTGAAGAAAATATTCTTTGTTAAAAAGAACCACCACTTAAAAGAAAGGAAAATAAACTGAGTAATCGCTTCTCTTAGCGCGGAATGATATTTTTCTGTGTTCACACGCGCGACACACCTGGGAGCTGGATTTCCGATTAATCCGTTTGAGTCAGGCGTGTTTTAAAGCACGAAGAAAGAACGAGTTATTTCTATGCAACCGGGTAGAATAAATGACTTTGCCTCTCTCGGGTGGGATAAAAATCGCGCTCAGCGCGACACGAAAGTGTAACAGTCGCTCGGAGTGCTGTCGCCTCTCGCGAAAAGGATGTGGTGGCTACGGCTGCTCTCGTGTAGGTCAAGGAAGGAATGCAGTTGACAAGGCCGGGCTGTGATTGCGGGTACTTAGGTGCCAGTTTCCGAGCTATTAATAGGTCGATCGCCGTGGACATTGGTCGAGCGGATTATTCATTCGCGGACTCTCAGTGTCTCGCCAATGTATCGCGAACCGTCGTTTCGCGCTGCTCGATGAGCTCGCTGGGGAATGGGCATTCGGATATTCGCGGATCGTCGCCGACGCAGACCGATCCTCCTCGAAGCAATTACATTTCGCTGAATCGAGCTCGCGATCGGTAATGTCAATGCTCCGCGAGTGTGACGCGTGAGTGACGTGCGACTAATGCAACAATGGAGCGAGACAGTCAGAGATAATAAACGCGTATCCGTCGCGGCGTCTAACGAGGCTATTGATGCTCGACGGTGATAGCCGAATCTTTTTTCTTCGAGATGCCCCGAGAAATAGTTCCCGGTAATAGCATAATGCAGTTACATATATCGTGGACTTATGCAAGACGCGCGCACCATCACTTTCGCCGTTCCCTTTCACTTCGAGTCTTTTTCTAGACGCTCGGATTTCTTAACTAATTCGGAATCGCGGCTTTTTTTCGACCAGAAGGTCGGGATTTGACACGACAGGACTTGCAATCAGCAGCAAGCGATAGGACGCGAAGCGCCGAGCTTTCGGAGAGGAAAAGCGACTGGAGATAACGAAATATCCTCTAATTAGTTTAAAGTGGACTTGAGCACAATTCCTTTGCTCTTCAGGCTTATTACAAATTGGAGCGTGGTTACAAAGGTCGAAAGCAAAAGACCTTTACGATCTCTTCTCTTTTTCTTTCTCTGGTAGGAAGTCGCGAGACCGACGAGAGCTCGGCTGAATTTGCCGTAGGATTTGTCGGCGAAACGAAGGAACACGATGACACACGTGTAACCGCGAGCGAGGTGACCCTCGTGTAGGCGTATAATGCTCGAGATAATAAGTGACAATGTTTACCAAAGAGCGACGCGTACAAATTCTTCGCGCCCAAGCACTCGTAATAATTGAAGGCGAAATAGGGATCGACCGTGAACTGCGATCTAAGGTAGTGCCGGGAGCAGAAGTAACTCTGGTAAGACGTCATCGGGAAGTTATTGTAAGGGTGATACCCAGACAAGTAGGGCAGGAAACTCGGCTGCTGCATCCCGTAAAGAGCCGTTAAGTCCATAGTCGAGTTTCTCCAGTCTCCACAGCCCCAATGGTGATTAGTGACAATCGAGACGTTACTTCCCGTGGGGAACATCTTGTTTCGTTTCCTCTTTTGGCCTCGTGTAGATTCGCGTTCACGACTCGTCGTTGATAATTAACACTCGCTATTTGTGCCCGTGAGAAATATCTACCGCGCAAATTACGACGATCTTTTTCTCTCTTTTCTTTCGATATTGTATACTGTCTTCTTCAAGTTTTCTTCTTTGACGTGCACATCTCCTCGCAGACGGATATTTCGCAGAGAACGTCGCGTCTGCATATTCGCATAGTAATTCGTAAAAAAGAGCCGTTTTATATCTTATGTCGCGCAGATGGAAATGTGTATCGCTCGTCGATCAGACACCGCAATTGGCACGTTGACATAGAATCAGACTTTCGGGTATGATATGCCGGTTTGTTTTAGAATATAATGTGCGCAACACTCGCGGGGGTCACTCCCGTGAGCGATTGTGCATCCGGTAAATCAACAGTCAATGTTGTCGTGAGAAATCACACGATCGACTCGTCTCGGGAAATTTGATTGCGATCGTCGCACGCGGCATAATTATGCAGTCATAATAATCACGATGTGTATTGCCAATTGTTTCGACACCGTTCCCGACTAAGCGCGAGTTCGTTGCTCGCGCGAGAGAATAGAGACAGCTCGCCTGACTAAAGCGGGAACGTCACTACTTCCTGCACGCCGTGCGCAAAAATCGCACGGTAGAGTCGCGAGACGAGTGGTGCGAAGTCGCTTTGATCAGCCATCTCTCTTCCTTTCTCTCTTTCTCTCCCGTGCGCGCGATTCTCAATGACGTGGTTCTCCCACAAGTATACCCCGATTGCGGAAACTTTACTCGTCATACGGCAGAGTATTGCGCGATTATGCAACACAAAGAGGTCATTTCTATTTGTCACATCGGAGAGTCTCGTCAGTGGACAATATCGATCGCGTATCGATCGTGCAAATGCACACCAATACACGGTGCTGCGTTCTCGTCACAACGATCGTCATCCCGCGACGTATACGTCCGCGAGCGCCGCTCACGGCGGCGGCGGCGACGGCGACGAAGTAATTGCGTCGTACACTCGTTGAACTGTATGACGTTGGTTCACGTGCAGCAGCAGCCGCGGCGGCGGAGGCGGAGGCGGCGGTGGCCGCCAAGGAAGATCAATGATTCCGCGGTATCGCGGGTCACACACGCGGCACCGTTGTGCGTCTGCCCGGCGAACCGGCACGCGTGCCTCTCGCGCGGCGCGTGTCCCTCTTGCCGTGCTCGCGAATATTTCGTCGAAAGATTGAAGAGTCACACGTTAGAATCGCGTCTCCCTCTCTTTCTCTCTCAGCTGATCGACTATTTCCGCGACGCGCGGCAAACACGCTCCAGGCGCGACACACGCGGTCGTCGTAACCGAGCCAACGGCAGTCTCTGACCTTTAAACCGATACCGGTAAGTCGAGGGTCATTGGTATCGTGCGTGTATTCACGAGCGCGTCGAAAAATCGATGCAGCCCAGTTGTGCAGAGCGCGGCTGATGGCGCATCGTGACGCGAGATTTCACCGCGACGTCATCGCCGTTGACGATCCTTTCTGGCACGCCGTCGACCGCTTGATTGTCGCGGTTTCCCTCTCCGTGCGTTCTCCGACACCCTACATCCGTGTTATCGATCGCGACGATTGATCACGTGGATCTCGCCTGCGAATGGAAACGGTCTCTCTCGTGGATCCTTCTTCGTGTCTTCCACTATCCCGGCAATGTTCGCGAGACGCGCGCGCGACGCTCCACCGCGTGGTTACGCGGGTTCAGGCGAAGCCGAACTAGCACCGGTGCACGTCCGGGACGACCGCGTGGGTTGATATCAACCCTGCACCGCCGGCAGCAACCATCTCGACTCCCTCCTGCCTCCCACCCTCTGGTGGGTGCCCCCTCTCGCTGTCTCTCTTGGACTTTAGCTTCCCCGAGTCGGCGACTCCGCCGCTACGCCACCCACGTCTCAACCTCTGCCCCCGTGCCGCCGCTGACGATCTCGCATCCCTTCCCTCCCCGCTTCTTCGTCAATCACTCGAAAGTTGCTATGAAGACGCAATAAGAAGGCGGACTTTTCTGCGACGCAACGCGTTCTGTTGTCGTCGTGTTGAATGAAGTCGCGGAGAAAAGAAAGAGAAAGAAAGAGAGAGAAGGGAGGGTGGGAGAGGGAGAGAGCAGTGGACGAGAGCAACACGCGGAACGAGCGACGAGCGAGATAAACGCGCGCGCAGCATGGGAGGCTGAATGAAGAGCGTGAATGGTGGCCGATGGTTGTGACGAAGGGTCGGAGGATCGAGCCATTGAAGACACTACATAGCGCGTGTGTGACCTCGCGAGGAAAATTACACGTTTGTGGGTAACGCGCGATGCATTCCATATGCGAACAGAGTGACAGGTACAAGGGGCGGTTATAACATGCTCGCGACCTATAGAGCAGTCTTTTTTCGCCACAAGCGCGGTGGTCGAGAAATCTTTATTCAGTGGAAACGCTTAGATTCGACGTAAGCGATTGCGCGCTGAAACATTGATGAAACATCGTCGTGATGAATCCACGCGGTCATTAACCCCCGTCCACGGTATTTGAAAATTTATTTGTGTGATATAAAGTTCACTCACAGTAATAAACTTTGTTTCATAGAAATATAAGCTTTACTTCATCGAAATGAACTTTATATCACACAAATAAATATTGGAGTATTTCTTTTCGCAGTGTGCGAATCACTGTTTTCCGCGACGCGGGAAAAAAAGTTTAGTTGGAAGAACCAATTTCTGATGAGATTCCGAAATGTCGATTGGAATTACCGGAATTTTTTTGAAGTTGACTAGATATTTTGATAATTTCGACTGAATTCTGATAATTTCGTTTGTTCACGAGAAACGGACTGATCTAACCAAACTTCTTTTCCCGTGTAACGCGATATGATTCGTTGGTCATTTCCGGGCAATGCTACTTTTTCTCTCCACACCGAAAACAAAAAATATTTGAAAGTTTATTTATAGGACATAAAGTTTATTCATAGAAAAATAAATTTTATTTTACAGAAATAAACTTTATACTCCATAGATAAATTTTGCAGGATTTCCTTCTCAGTGCACGTATGAGTAAAAAAATCGGAACAAAATTTTTTGCGATCATTTAAGGTCTCCATTTTCTGTTCAAACGTGCAGTCTTTGTGATTCTTTTTTTATTTTTCGCGAAACACGGAGGGAAGCACAGGATTATTGACTGATTGACTGTCCCTAAAGTGAGCCACGAATCGCACAAAGGGCTCAAGACAATCCCGTTCAATTCGGCAAAATGGAGGAGATTAATTGCTTCGTACGCGCGACTGTAACTACGGACATTCGCCTCCTACAGCTCGCAAAAATCAACGCATATCGGAAATCCCGTTATTACGAACAAATACGAGCGTTACGTTCGCCATTGGCTGGCCGGTCGACCGGCTGTGCGATTCGTCTCGCGTAATCTCGATGCGAAAAGATCGCCCGACGCGCATCATAATCTGCTCGACGATGATGTATGATCTCACCCCGCAGCGCGATTACGTCAACAGTGCGGATCTCTGTGTGCGGAGATGCCGGGCAAGATGCTCCATCTTGCCATCTGACGATCTCTCCCGCGCCTTATGCTGTCTTACGAGGTGATTACCGTTAATCGAGACTCTCGGTCGCACGAAGGGACTAAACGCGCGACGGAATCGAACGGAGCGGTTACGAGGTGGATAAATAATCGCGATAACGACGCGTTGCACGACGCTGCGAGCGCGCGAAAGGGGATCGCTAATACGGGACACCCGGGGCGGAAAAACTCGTTACGTCCGGCCACTTCCTGTGTACGCTAACGAAGTGTTAATTCCACGTGCTTTGGACTCTGGTGCGACGATGATGGTGTGTGTGTGATGACGGCGTATGTATCGCCGGGGCATTCTTACCGTCGCTACTACATCGAGAGTCGACCTTTCCCCTTTTCAACTTGAGGTTTTGAAACAAGCTCATGTTGTCTAGCTCACACGGGCTGCGCGTAAGGGTCATAATTCCTGAAAACAGAAAAAACACGACGAGAATTAGCGCCAGTTCCAGTGCTCGCTCAGCATGTGGCTTACAAGTCTAAATTCAAGCCTATCTATTTATCTCGTTTACGAGAATGAATCACTCTGCGCCTCAAACAAATTCACATTTCTATGTTGCGTGATTTTCACGCTCACGCAAAGCCCTTCAGCAATTTAACTAAAAAAAAATTATTATGGAGTTTTGTAGTCGAGGAACAGAATTTATTCTGCAATAATCGATTCTCTGTTCTCCCATTTTATACTACTTATATTTTAGAAACTGAAATGTGCTGCATTTCCAACGAAATTTGCTATGTTCTTTAGCAAATTATATACCTTCCTGATAGGCTATTTCTGTGTGCTACTAGAAATAGCAAGATTGAAAAGAATTTATAAAAAAAAACATATAATATTTTTTTTTATGTAGATCTCGAATATTAACGCACACACTGAGGGAAAAATTACATCAACAAATATTAAAATCAACAAATATTTCTTTGATGGGTGCCATATTTATTTAAATTCTTTTTATTTAAACCAAATATTGTTTATTTAAATCAGGTAAACAATATTTGATTTAAATAAAGAGAATTTAGGTTTAAGTAAATATGTTAATGGCACCCATCAAAAATACTTTTGTTGATTTTAAGATAATTTTTCCTTCAGTGCAATTATGAACGCTGCGAATATAATCCTCCATCTCGCCTTATTTTCTCGTCTCATCTTATTTTCATCCAACATAGCGTCGCGGTTTTCCTGGTTCTCCCAAACATGATCGATCGAACGATAACGAAAAATGAAATCGCTTACTTTGGTCGACTGACCTCAGACCCAGTCAAACCGCTCAAGTTCGCACTTGTCGCGAAGTTCCGTCGTCTTTCATCATACGATGCCTATTAACACATTCGCTAGCACGGTAGTCGTTTAGAGAATTGCTCTGTAGTTCTTCTCACGTAATTTTGTGAAACAGGCTTAGAGTGTGATAATATGAGCATAGAAAAAGAATTTTTTGCTATCATACCGGTGCGACACCGGTCTGTAATAAGAGATCCTTGCGTCACGCACAGATGTGACATCGGTAGCGAGCGTGTCAAGAGTCACCGTCGACGTACCTGCGCTCGCAATCGCGATCGTCTCGCACGCGTGCAGCACGGCCGATTTATCGGCTCTTTATCGTTGGGAGAACGTGAAAGTACGAGAGCGTGCGCGCGTACAAACGGACGCGATTAACGGCGAACGCATGGTTCGCCATTAACCCCGCTTTAGCCGGCAATAGCGCACAATTGGATCGATCGCATGACGGCGTGTGTCATTGCTGCGGTGCGAAACCGAGGCGGTGTGTTCAACGGGGTCCTCGCGGGATCCTGAGTGCGGCAAAAGTCCCAATCGACGCAAGACGACGCAAGACGACGCACACCACGATGGAATAATTAAACACAGGGTGGCCCCGACGAAGCCCGTAAGCTCGTCGTCGACCCTCCGTCCGTCCGTCCGTTCGCCGGGATCGGCTTACGACGAGCTTTACGAGCGTGAGCGTCGTTCTAGAGCTAGACGAGACTAGGTTTAGCGCGAGACGACCGCGGGTGCTACGGGGGTCATTTCAATGATGCGACGCCGGGGCGATAATAACAAATCGCGCGTCTTATCGCGGACGGGCGACGAACAATTGCGCCGGTTGGCCGCGCTGTCGGAAAGAGATCGTCTAAGCGGTTTCACGACTGCGTCGACCTGACCGACGGGTCGTTTTAATAAGGGCGACGATGCGCGCGTCAATCGTTGCGAATTTTTATGCCTCTCCGCCGTCTTCATCCTTCTGGGAAACGCGACACACGCTGCCGGCGCTCACATTGTTGCGCACGAGTGTCTCGCGCGCAAGAGGTGATAGGTCTTTTCTATTTATTCGTGTCATCTGCCTTCCTTACGATACTCCTTCTTTTCTGTTTCTTCTTTAACGATGTGCCGTCAAATGTGACATATAACTCGTTTTTTAAGCGTGGAAAATGGAGTATCTAAAGGGAGAAACTTTTATTTGGTTTTTCTCATTTTATCAGGAATAAAAATCGACGGGAAGCTTGATAGAAATGTACGCGCACATCCGCCCAGTTTTATCGTCCAGTATTAATGCATTTCCATTGGCTGTAAAAATACTGCGTAGGAATTGCACGAGAACTTGATAAAGTTCTGTTCAGTGGTTGAAGCAGTTTACTATACGATGTATGGCCGATTTTTCCCAATAATTTATTGTGATGAACACATCAGGCTATTCTGATGGTCATAAATACTAATGAAAACGTCACGACGGTTCAGAGTCAAAACCTGATGAAATAGTACTACAAAAATAAAATACTACTAGAGCAAGTCTGTTCATTTTATGAGCAGCAGATTTGATTATTAATTGATGATTAATTTAATAGTCTTGTGTATATTTTCTGTTCAGTAAATGGCTTCAGATTTTGTGCATCTTTCGTATCAAAAGAGCGTTATATTTTTACTGGAATCTCAAGTAATTTTATTTTCCAGTTACTAGACAAAAATTAACATAACTGTTCAGTGGCTGATTGAAAACTGCATTAAATTTCTATCAAGGGATATAAATGTTTTCTCGCGCGCGAAATCTCTGCGAATGTGCAAATTTGGATCAATAACGGATAGTGGCATTATCACGAAATGCATAGATTGCCAAATGGTTGTTTGTCACGACAAAGATACCGGAAAGAGAGGGAGAGAGGGAGAGAGAGAGAGAGAGAGAGAACTTCATCAAAGTAGAGATGCACTTGCGCGGGGCTTTCTATTTGTTTTCGGTGCGCAAACTTCATTCAACTAATCTGAGCGACATTAATATTCCGTAACATTGTCTGTCTCTATTTCGAAAGTTGTTTATTTTAGCATGGCGGTGAAACTTCTTGCAGCTACTCCTACACGCTGACTCTCTTAGTCTATGTGCTCGCAAGAAGCAACTATATTTACGAGCAGGCTGCATGTTTAATTAATACTGTCGGGCGTATATCATGTGCCAGATTATTTGCTGCGCGTTATGCATAGGTCATTATCACACGGTATCATAAGTGAAGTTCTTTCATCTTTCAAACGTTCATCGATTTATATCGGCTGCTCAATTATTTCATACACCTCTCTTTCTACCCGGAGAGAACCACTTAAAGATGAAAAACTGACAAGTTTGAGTTGAAACTATTAGAAGCGATATCTACAAGTAATTCAACCTCAAAATGAGTCAAGTAAATTAGATAAATCAAGTAGATTAAATAGGTAGATCGGTAGCTGGATTAAGGGGCTCTCTATTAGAGGAACGAATTTAAATCGTTGGAATAAAAAAAAGGTACCCGCATTTCTCGCGATATTTTACACGAGAAAGAAGAACGTCGTATTGTTCTCTTTAAACATGTTGATTTTAGCCAACACACAAAATCACCGTCGTTCGCGGCAATATGTCCTTCCATTCCTGCAAAATCACTAAGTGCAAAATCACGAAGTATTTTGCGAATACCCACGCGATATGTTATAATGAGTCAACGAGCAGGCGGGCGGGCGAGCGCACGCGTGGTGTGAACGACGCTTAATCAGCCGCGCGCGCGGCCACGTGGGCGAGCGTATGCACCGTGCGACGCTAGATGGCACACGTGAGCGTACGGCGAGCGGCGAGAGGCGGCAGAGCGCATCCACGCTTCGAGGAGGTAAGCACGCATGTGCGCGCTCGCTCGGCCGACCGTGTGTATAGATAGACCAGTATATACGTGGCTGGTGCAGCCAGCGCGGGGTCCTTGCTCCCTGCCGTATGTGGGTCAGCAGTCTCACACACGCCGCTATTCTTGCGTAACCAATGCATGCATACGGCCGCGTTCGCGCGCGCGCGAGGAAGAGAGAGAGAGAGAGAGAGAGAGAGAGTGAGTCGCCGCAGGAACGCATGCATGTACACGTGCACACGCACACATTCACCGAGACGGAAAGTGCAGCCAATGCACTAACCTACGACGGTCTCCTCTTGAGAGAGGCCGCCGGCGCTCGATGCTTACGTGCGCGTACGTGTGCGCATACGCTAGCGCGAGTGCAGAATGCACGCGGCGGCGAGCTCAAAGCCACGCAAGCTCGTCTATCTCGGGCGAGCTTTTTCGAGTTTTCGCGGTGCCGGCTACACTGGTCGGGGTATTTGCGCGAGGACTTGTATACGGCAACTCTTCGTGTCACTTTAATCGGGACTCTTACGAGATGCATTAAGCTTTTTGTAAATAGCTTTCTTGAGAAATTGAGCTTTTTATGATTTTGATACGATATGACTTGGTGCAATCCTTGAAATATTAGAAATTTTGTCATACATGCAATAAGCCTGTCTCTAGATTCTTTTAATTTTGTTTGAGTAATAGATTTTCATACATTTTGTCATACATGCAATAAGCCTGTCTCTAGATTCTTTTAATTTTGTTTGAGTAATAGATTTTCATACATTTTGTCATACATGCAATAAGCCTGTCTCTAGATTCTTTTAATTTTGTTTGAGTAATAGATTTTCTAATATATCATCGATGTAAAAAGAGAATACAGAGAAAAGCGCTTTTTGATAATTATTTGAACATCCGCAAGAGAATGCATACATATAAATATTGCAATCGCCGTGATGCGATGATCGTAAATAAAACAATATGACAAAAAGCTTACATTTGTGTGACCAATATGACAAAAAAGCTTACATTTATGTATACCAATGAAATTTCATATTTATCGGTACGTTCATGCGGTTATTAATTCACACCGTGTTTATATTCCTCGCCCGAAAGGTTACAACTTTCTATTCCATAAGCCGTCAATAACAACGTCATGTATCGGCAATCTGACTAATTTATTGCATACGAAATTATATCGTTACATAATTGAATTAGTAACAAACGGCGTTTATTTCATAATAAAATTCTCAGTGAGCTATTGATCGTGTCGATACTCGAGACATCAAAAATCTCTTTACATTCGATGTATAG